AACATGTGAGTGGCTCACACGCCATAAGGGAGAAGGATGTTTTTCCTCTGCCCCAGGCTGCCTTTATCCTGGGTTGCCCTGTGCGCCCACAGGTGTGCACGCAGGTACTCTGCAGAGGCAGGCCTGTGCCTTGCACTGAGTGTACACAGCATGTGGGCTGCGGCTTTTCTGAGGCCTGCTGAATACTGGAGTGGATGGAGCCCATTCATTCAGCCAGTCTCCAGTCTTTTTGAATACCAAACAGTGCTTCCAGTGTTTTTGCATGACAGCATTGCATTGGGCAACATGTGAGTGACATACACTTGTACGTTTTTTCTTGCTGACATTAAATTTTTTTTTTTTTTTTGCTTATATGATTTAAGATAACATATCTGTAGTCTGTATTTCTAGAAAGAGAACTGGTGGGTGAATTTTTATAGATATGTCAGTCCAGAATTGCAGCCAAGGAGGAACACCTCCTTCCCTGTGTCCTTGACAATAATCCTATTAGACATTGATTTGTACCCCTCTGATGAATGAAAAATAACCTATCAATATAGTTTTGTTTTTTGTTTTTGCTGTACGCGGGCCTCTCACTGTTGTGGCCTCTCCCGTTGCGGAGCACAGGCTCCACTGTGTTCCCTGTGGAGGTGCAGGAGCAGAGCACAGCCACAATGGAAGTAGAGCTGTCCCATGCTGATGTGGAGGGCAGCTGGACTCGAGATGGCCTTCAGATCCAGCCAGGACCCACGTGCCAGCTGGTGGTGCACGGCCCCACCCATACCCTTACGCTGTCTGGGCTGCAGAGGCAGGACAGTGGCCTGGTTTCCTTCAGGGCGGAGGGCGTGCACACATCTGCGCGGCTGGTGGTCACTGGTAGGTGGACATAGGTGGGGTGGGACTCACTCCAGAGCACCTGCCCCTGTCCCCAAGGTGGCCCAGGGAGGCAGCTATGGGCAGGGATATGGAATCCTGGAGGAGGGGGGCTCATTCCTTTTTTTTTTTTTGCGGTACGCGGGCCTCTCACTGTCGTGGCCTCTCCCGTTGCGGAGCACAGGCTCCAGACGCGCAGGCTTAGCAGCCATGGCTCACAGGCCCAGCCGCTCCACGGCATGTGGGATCTTCCCGGACCGGGGCACGAACCCGTGTCCCCTGCATCGGCAGGCGGACTCTCAACCACTGCGCCACCAGGGAAGCCCTCAATATAGTTCTATTTTGCATTTTTTTGAGTGAAATGCAAATAAGTTTTTAACAGCCAGCTATATTCCCTTCCCTTGAACTGTATGTTCATATCCTGTATCCAATTAACAGTTGATTCCTTTGTTACTGATCTAGAGGAAAAGATACGCCTGTGTCCACATATGTACGTGCAACACATGCACATGTGCCCACATGCACATGCCCACACACAAGCAAAGAAACTTGGTCCTTGGCCTGGGATCTGAATTGCAGCATTTCCTCTGTGGGTCTTGGGGTTCTGTGCTACTTTTTGCTGTGCAGAGATTCTTGTACATTTAGATAGTCTAATTTATTAAATTTTAAAGGCATTTTGGATTCTGAGTCACTCTGACAAAAGCCTTCCTGATTCTAAGAATGTTTTATGAACCTCTCATCTTTCCTGCAGCACTTCTGTGGGTTCCTCGTTGTGTTGTCGTTTCTGCCTCTTGTCCCTGGGACCTTCTCCACTGAGCCCAGACCCACCTGACGGCCCCCCTCTTCCCTGTACCCCGTGCATTGTCTCACCCCGGCACCTCCGTGAGGGTTTGTCCTCTGTTGCTGCACTCCAGGCCATAAGTTCACAGGCTGGCTGCACTGAGTCCACACTGACTGTTAAGGGGGCCTGGGCAGGGGGCAGCTGGGCCCCCATAAAAGGGAGGTGGGGACGTGCCTCCTTGGGATGAGGGACGCCGGGGGGTAGAGCAGTGCTGCCCCCTTGGGTTTCAGCCTCATGCCTACCATGGGAGCTGGGTGATGGCTCAGGGGAAAGGCCTGGCCCTTGGGCCTCAGGCCTCAGCCATGTGGCCACACGATTTTCAGATGGCCATTCCTGGACTTGAGCTGACCCTTCCTCAACATCCTGCTGCCCAGAACAGATGTAGACCCCCACCTGGACTCAGGAGAGTGTCAGCTTGCCTGTGGCTGTGTTTATGGAGCTGCCTCTGATACCCTGGTGGACATGCTGAGGTCAGGTGGGAGTGAAACTACCTATAGCTATGGAGACTGGCCCTGGGTGTGGGGGACCCCTGAGTTAGCTCCTCATGTGCAGTGTGGACACAGGCTGGCACCAGGTCGGGGGGGGCCCTGTCCTCAGTGCCCATGTGCAGAATTTGGACACAGGCACCCCCAATGCCTCCTGGAAGACTGGAAGGCAGCATCACCTGCCATTTGTCTCCGTCTCCTCGTCCGTTTCCAGCCCGGCCCCAGGTCCCCCCAGGATGGCCTTACAGTAGGGGTCTTCTTGGCAGCGGTGGGAGCTTGGTTAATCCGAATCCTGCCTGGGGGATGTGCTGGTTGGAGGCTACAGTTCTTTAGCCATGTGGCACGCAGTTCTGGGCACAGCTGTTGACATTCCTGTCTGGGGACAAGTCTCCACTGTGTGAGCTGTCTTTGTGTGAGGAGTATGGCTCTTCTGGCCTCCAGCCCAGGGTCCTCGGGCCCCTGCCTACTCACCCTGCCCCAGCGCAGCAGCTGTCCTCAGGCAGGGTCCTGGAAGTCCACAAAAACTGCCTCTGACGTCAGCCTCTGCCACATCCGCATGTCCTTAGGCATGAAGTCCTAACGCTAGATAAGGGGTGCAGGTAACTGGGGCTGCCATGTGCTGCTACCCCTCCAACGCATCGTCCCAGCTCCAAGCTCATGTGTCTTCTCCCCGAAGGTCTTACTGCCTCTGCATCCCCACTGCTCAGTGGCCCACAAAGGATCTGTCCGTGTCTTGGGGACCTTTGGAGCTTCTCCTCTAGCCAGCACCCATGCTGGCCCCCCACTGCACACCCAGGGGCCTCCTGATTCAGAGTGTTGCTTACGGAGAGGGGCACGGGTCTCTCAGCAACGTCTGCACAGACTTGAGCTGGCAGGGATGCCTCTGTGGGCTCTGCTCACCCACACCCTTGGTCTCAGGGTTGGGAGCAGTTGCCACCTCTGCTCTCCCACAGCTCACCGGTACACTGGCTCTGAGCACTGTGGAGAGCAGGGCCAAGGCCTGGGGTGGGTCTTCTCAGGGTGCCCACCATGGCCTCACTCATGCTGCACCTAAGTGTGCAGAGGTGGGGGGTAGTGGCCCTTTCTGCTCTGCACCCCTAGGCCTGACCAGTAAGCTCTGGTGTTCTGGTAGCCCCTTGCCCAATGTTGCCTGGGCCTCCTGTCAGCCTGGTTCCCGAGCCACAGCACCCTGCTTTGCTGTTCTCAGGGAGCTGATCAGAGAGGGTGAGACAGAGGCAACTCCTTCAGGGACCGGGGTCCAGAGGCCTCAGGGTAGGGCTGATTCTGCTTTGCATGGGCCCCACCCTTACCAGGTTGGATGCAGCGACTCCCCTCTCCACTAGGCAGGGCAGGGCATGCTGGGGTGTGTGTGCATGCAGCTACAAAATGTGGTACCCCAGGTTGTCCGCAAGGGAACCTCAACCTGCATCATTACTGCTGGAGTCTGTTAGAGGGTGGGGTTCTAGAAGGCCCTGCCCACATCCCTTCCCCTGCAGAAAGCTGCAGCTCTCCTTGTCAGCCCAGTGGCCACCGTACCCCTGAGGGGGCTTTGGAAGGACAGCAAGAAATGGGATGGGGCACGGTGTGGGGCTCCAGTATCTGTGAACTCCTGATGCCCCTGGTTCCTGGGGTTGGCTGAGGTGAGAGGTGGGGGCTGGGGCTTGTTTCTAAAGATGCTCTAGTGGTGGGCTCTGAGCCCCATTCACGTCCAGGTGGGCACCTCTCCCTCCCGAGGGATGAAGGTCTGGGTGGGGTTGGGCTTGGACCTTCCTGGAGCCCAGATGTGCAGTTGTCTGTCTGGGGACACTGAGGCCCATGGTTCTGAGCACAGAGCAGGCAGAAGGCCAGAGCCAGTCAGTCCCTGGATGGAGCAGCTGGTAAGGAGTTAGGGCAGGCAGGCCAGACAGAGGAAGACGGACCCAGGCCAGGGCCTTGGCTCAGCCAAGAGAAGGGGTGGAGTTGCACAAGAACCAGGAGCCCACTTCCTGGGTGGCACCTGGGTCCTGGGCTGGGAGGCCCCTTCTGGTGCACATATTCCAGAAGACCCCATTGGAACCATGGGGGCCATCTGCACAGGCTGCAGGACAGGGAGTGAGCCAAGACCATCCTCAAGGGACCACAGGGCCGCGGGGGGCACCCCTAGCTGGGGATGGCAGAGTGTGGGGGTCCTAGAGCAAGCTGGGTAAGCAGACATGGGAGTGGGTCGGGGAGGGTACGGTAGGTGTACATCTCATGTGGGCTGAGGCAGCTGTGCCCACTCCCTGCCTTGGTTGTCTGCCCTTGGCCAGTACCCTGGGCTGGGCAGTCTTCTCAGGTGTGTGTGTATGAGTTTCTAGCTGTGTGTTCCTTCCCCTGTCATCAGACCTGGGCAGTGAGGCTGGTGTCAGCTGGGGTGTGACCCCCTGAAAGGACTTGTTGGGGAGTGGTCAGCATCCATGTGGGTACCTGAGCTGTGCTCACTGGGCAGCCAGTGTGAGAACCCAGGGTGTGCAGGGGGCCCAGGCAGGGGTCCACAAGCAGTTGGCAGGGCAGGGCGTGAGTGGATATGGGGGCAAGCGGGTGTAGAGAGGATGCCTGGTGGGCAAGGGTCCCACGGCCTTCTCACCACCCCTCCCCTGCCAGGTTCTCTGTGGCCTTTCTGTACCTGTCCCTGGGCCTGCTGCCCCTTCTGTCCCCCAGGCGGGCCCACTGGGGCTCCTATCCAGTTGCCACCGTGCTTTCCGGCCGAGCAGGTTCTTCTGCTGCCCCAGCATCTGCAGCCCTCGCCCAGCGCCCACCTTCTGCCTCTGGGGCAGGGCTCACTCTGGCCTCTCTGTGCCCAGGCTGACGGGCAGTGAGCCCCTGACCATCCTCCCGCTGACCCTGGAGCCGGAAGCAGCTGCCCAGGCACACTACAAGGCCTGTGACCGGCTGAAGCTGGAGCGCAAGCAGCGGCGCATGTGCCGCCGGGACCCCGGTGTGGCTGAGACGCTGGTGGAAGCGGTCAGCATGAGTGCTCTCGAGTGCCAGTACCAGTTCCGGTTTGAGCGCTGGAACTGCACCTTGGAGGGTCGCTACCGGGCCAGCCTGCTCAAGCGAGGTGAGTGTGCTGGGACACTGGGCCAGAGCAGGGAGGCAGGACCTCCCAGCCCTGGTGTGCGCCCCTAGTGCATCACCTCAGCTGAATTCCAGGTGACTGGGCGGTGGGTGGGATCTGACCCCCCTGTTCCCCCCTTCCCCTTCCTCCTGCCCTCTCCCCCATGCCCTGTCCCTTCTCACACCTGCATGGAACAGTTGCTGGTGGCACAAGGCACATGTGGTCAGCTGTGACAAGGCCTGAGGCAGCTCTGATGTCTCTTGCCACATGGCAGTGGCTGAGGCCCAGTGCCTGGGCACAGGAGCAGGGGTCCAGCTGGTGCCCCAGCCCAGAGCACGGAGCCTCCTCTCTTGTGTCTCCTTCTGCATGAGGGTGCCGAGGGGGACTCTCATCTGAGTCTCTCAACAGCGTTGTTTTAAAAACTAGGGGACACAGGGGAAGGGTAAGCTGGGACGAAGTGAGAGAGTGGCATGGACATATATACACTACCAAATGTAAAATAGATAGCTAGTGGGAAGCAGCCGCATAGCACAGGGAGATCAGCTCGGTGGTTTGTGACCACCTAGAGGGGTGGGATAGGGAGGGTGGGAGGGAGGGAGACGCAAGAGGGAGGAGATATGGGGACATATGTATATGTATGGCTGATTTACTGTGTTATAAAGCAGAAACTAACACACCATTGTAAAGCAATTATACTCCAATAAAGATGTTAAAAAAAACAAAAAAAAAAAAACTAGGGACCTGAGGCCCAGGGCGTGGCAAGGCTCACAGAGGGCCCTGGCCAGTCTAGTAGGTTGGAGACCCAGATGGATAGGGTCTCTGATGCTGGGCACACCTGTGGCCCAGTACACTCTGGGTTCTCTCCTGCCCCTGACCAGTCCTATGTCTGGGCCACAAGGGAGCACCTCCTGTCCCCAGGTGCACATGGCAGCCCAGGCAGGTATGCCCCTCCCTGCATGGAACACACCAGGAAGGATCCTTCCCGCAGACCCTGCTCTATATGGAATGTGTGCCTGGGGATGCCATGATTTGGCTGCACCTGAGTGAGACGGGGGCCGCTGTGGCCTGCTGACCTGCCCCTACCCCCACCACCCCAGGCTTCAAGGAGACAGCCTTCCTTTACGCCATCTCCTCTGCTGGCCTGACTCATGCACTGGCCAAGGCGTGCAGTGCCGGCCGCATGGAGCGCTGCACTTGTGATGAGGCCCCTGACTTGGAGAACCGAGAGGCCTGGCAGTGGGGTGGCTGCGGGGACAATCTCAAGTACAGCAGCAAGTTCGTCAAGGAGTTCCTGGGTCGGCGGTCTAGCAAGGATCTGCGAGCCCGTGTGGATTTCCACAACAACCTCGTGGGTGTGAAGGCAAGCGGGGTGGGGTGCGGAGTGGGAAACGTTGCAGGGTGGGGTGCGCACAGGGCACAGGGCAGGGCATGGGGTGGGTGTGGGGTTGCAGGTGGCGTGAGTTGGGGAGCAGGGCGGGGAAGTGCAGAGGGGTGGGCAGGGTGCATATGTGTTTAAGGGCTGGGGTGCAGGGGCTGAGGGAGGGGCATTGGTGGTGGAGAGGGCTGGGTGGAGGTGAAGTCGGCTGCCTCTGGGGCTCTGTTCCAGCCACTGGTGACAGCCAGGGCCTCCAGTCCTTCTGCTTATAAGGCTCATTACTTACTGGATGGGCAGGGATACTAGTTGTCATGGTGGGGAACTCCATGGAGGGGTGCCCCGTGGTCTCCCATGGTTGGGTGGAACCAGAAGGCCTACTTGCTGCTGGCTGGGGAGCAGGCAGGTGGGTCCTGGCTGGTCAAGGCCACAGGGAGGGTCTCCCTGCCGGGCACCATCTAACCAGGAGGACAATGGACTGGTCCCTACCTGCCAGGGCTGAGGGGTGGGTGGTCCTGTCACCAGGGACCAGGTGGACAGCAAACGGGTAAGTGTGTGGTCCAGGGGTCCTGGGGAAAAGCTGGGGGTGTGGCTGGCTCAAGCTGGGGCGGCGGCTGCTACCTCAGGGACCCTGTCTGTGGCCAGGACTGTTCCGAGGGAACTTGAAACAAAAGACTCAAGGTGAAAAGGACTGTTTCAGCTCTCTTGCTGGGCCCTTCTGGGAGCTGCTGGCTGCAGGCATGGCTGGGCCTGGGGGGACCTGGCTCCGCAGCCACTCTCTACCCACCCGCCAGCCCCTTGGCTCCACGCCACTGGAGGAGGCATCGAGTCCCGCCACCTTCACTGTGGACAGAACACCCCACCCTCTCAGTCCCTGCACAACCTGGCCAATCAAACGCCTCCCAAGGCTCAGCCTGAGCTGTGGGATAGTCAGGGGCTGGGAGGGGGATCTGCGTGCTTGCTGGGCAGCCCTTGGGATATGGAGCCCCAGCCTGGGGGCTGGAGGGGGGCGTGAGGTAATTAATGCCAGCCTCACTCTGAGCCCCTCTTTATTGAGAAGCCAGAGTTCTGAGGTGTGGGCTTATTAAAGAATCAATTTCCCCCTTTTCCACAGGAGCTCTGCCTCTCCTTCCACCCTCTAGGGAGGGGTGCAGGCTGATTAAATCCCCCATGGGAGGCCCTTTCTTTTCCTCTGCACTCGCCCTTTTGTAAGCTATTAATGAAAAGTCAGAATATGAAAGTGCTCCATTAGCTCCACTGGTTCTGAGTAAGCCTCGTTTTAATTAAATTTGTCCGGGTTTCTCAGCAAAGTATCATTAAATGTGACTCTTCTGTTGCCTGGCTGGAGGGCAGCTATGTTTCTTAATCCCCCTTGAGCCGACTCTCCCTGGGGGCAGTGTGGGAGCTCAGGCCTGGCTTGGGGCCCACTGGGAGAGGGACCTCCCCTTCCCCTGCCGTTCTTCTTTCCCGTGTTCCTCTAGTGACCCCAGTGTGGAAAGTCAGGCAGGAGGCCCCGTGGGACAGCTGGGCTGACTCCACGGCTTTGCAGGTTGGACCCAAATCCTGGGAGGGGAAGGGCCCAGCCTGGGTCTCAGGCAGCTTCCCAGATCCCAAGCGGAGTGTTGGTGCTGAGCCACGCCTGCTCCTGCCTGCATGTGTGCGGTGGGTGCAGCCCCCTCCCATCTGGACCTCTCTGGAGGCTTTCTCCCACTTTCCAAGTAGCACGGTGGGGGATGGTGCCTGCACATGCAGTAGCATCTGATCCCTATGCTCAGGCAGGGGCATGGTCAGCCCAAACGTAGACTCTAGTGGCCAGTTCTGTCCACTAGGCAAGCTAACTTGCTTGTCCTTACTTTTTCAAGGAGCAGACTGCTGAGGACAGACTGTGTGGTCCTGGGGGGTGCTGACAGGGGGGCTAGTGGGGAGGTGTGCCCTGCCTTGCAGAGGGCAGCCTGGGATGCAGGGGTGGGAAGGGAGGACCATGATGGTGCAGGAGGTGGGTTCAGGGTGCTGCAGTGGCCACTCTGAAGGTGTGGTGCTGGCTATGGGGTTTCTGTCCTGGGTGGTCCATGGCTTGGAGAGGGAGGGACATGTGTGGGTACCAGGGAGCCTGGGTGATGAGCAGTGGTGACCCCCTTTGCCTGGGCCTGGGTCTGGGGGGGCCATGAGGTCTGGCCCTGGGGTGAATGGCAGTTCCAGCCCCTCTGAGGGTTGTCCTTGGGGATTGGTCTCCAGTCTGCTCAGAGTGGCTCTCATGCCCACCTCCCTCCCAGGTGATCAAGGCCGGGGTGGAGACCACGTGCAAGTGCCACGGCGTGTCAGGCTCGTGCACCGTGCGGACGTGCTGGCGGCAGCTGGCGCCTTTCCATGAGGTGGGCAAGCGCCTGAAGCACAAGTACGAGACAGCGCTCAAGGTGGGCAGCACCACCAACGAGGCCACCGGCGAGGCCGGCGCCATCTCACCACCGCGGGGCCGGGCCACAGGGACGGGTGGTGGCGACCCACTGCCCCGCACACCGGAGCTAGTGCACCTGGATGACTCACCCAGCTTCTGCCTGGCCGGCCGCTTCTCCCCAGGCACTGCCGGCCGCAGGTGCCACCGTGAGAAGAACTGCGAGAGTATCTGCTGCGGGCGTGGTCACAACACACAGAGTCGGGTGGTGACCCGACCTTGCCAGTGCCAGGTGCGCTGGTGCTGCTATGTGGAGTGCAGGCAGTGCACCCAGCGCGAGGAAGTCTACACCTGCAAGGGCTGAGCCCCTGTGCCTGGCCAGGCTGCTGCAGGGGTGCAGGCAGTGTGTGCAATGTGAGGGGTGTACACCTGCAGGGGCTGAGCCCCTGGGCCTGGCCAGGCTGTTGCAGGGGTACAGGTGGTGTGTGCCATGTGAGGGGTCTAGACCTGCAGGGACTGAGTCCTTGACCCGGGCGCCCCCAGTATACTTGGTTACAAGGCAGGGGCAGAGGCCAGGGAGTTGGCTGGGTTGGCCATCTCCACCCTTTTATCTCCCCATCTCAAAGGCCCAGTCTGACCTCTGCATCCCCTCTGTTTGTCCCTCCCCATGACCTGAGAGCTTTGCACAGATGCTTTCCAAGCTGTGTCCCCCTGAGTCACCAGGTGCCCCTCCTGCGCTGGGTGCCCTCTGAGGAGCAGCGGGCACACCTTCGTGACCACACGGCCTCAGTGTGAGCTGCCTGTGGCCTGTTCTGCACCAGCACTGGCTTAGAGTCAAACCACTAGGGTAGAGAGCAGATGCCTGGCTGCCCAGGTGCGGGGGGTTCCACTGCCGGCCCCCTCTGACATCGAGTACTTCTCTTTGGAGTGATATCAGTGACTTTTAAGTTATTTTTATTTAACTAATATATAATTATTATTTTCTCCATCCCTGCAGTCTCCCAGGCTGTGGCTCCTCCCCCTCTCAGCAGAACCTGGCCTGGAGGGGCCCCTTTCTCCCTCCCCTCCACGGCCCCTCCTAAACTGTTCGCCTGATCTGCTTTGTCGTTTGAAACCACTAAATCCAGAGAGACATGCTGTCGTTGTTTTTGAAGAAGTAAAGCAGGCTGTGTCTGGCCACCACCCTCAGGGTTTCTGGAAGCCAGGTCCCATGGTCCAGGTCGGCTACCCATAGCAAGGCTGACCTGGGAAGTGGACGGGCCCTGCTCGGCACCCTGCGGGCACATGGCTCCATACTCTAGCCTCCTCAATGCAGATTCTGGGGCTGGGGGTGGCAGAAGGTGGCCTGTTCTCCCCCAGAGGTGGGCATGGGCAGAGGGGCAGGGCCAGCTCCTTGGAGCTTCATTTCATGAGGAAGGCACAGCTTGCTCTCTGTCACTGTGGGGGAGGCAGGGTGGGGGCAGACATGGGTGGAGAGGGTCTAGGTTAGGATGTGGCAAATGGAAGGCTGTTCTCCTTGGCCATGCTGTTGATTTTGCAGGGAAGGGAAAAGGATGGCCAGCACTGACCTGATTTGGTTTGCGGGTGTGTGCACACATGTGTGCATGTGTGCATGAGTGTGTGGTGTGTGTGCACGAGCATGTTTGATTGTGTGCATGCATGAGTGTACATGTGTGTATGTGATGTGTCTATGCATAAGTGCATTGTGTGCTTGTGTGTGAGCACGTGTATGTATCTGCATGTGGTGTGTGTTCACGCATAAGAATGTGAGCACATCTGTGCATGGGTGTGCATGTATGTACATGGATGCATGTATGTGTGTGACCGTGTGCACATGTTTGTGCATGTGTGGTGTCTGTGCTTTGTGTGTGTGCATACGTGTGTGCATGCACGCATGTGCGTAAGCGTGTCTGCATGTGTGTGGTGTGTGTGATCGTGCACACTGTGTTGGGTTGTGGTCAGTGGTTGGTTGGGGTGTGGCCTCTGCCCTGTGCCCTTCCTAGGTGTGGAGCTCTACTCCCCATGTTGGCAGGGCCTCCAGCCCTGGGCCCATCCTGCTCAGCTCTATGACTGTGCTCCGAGGGTGTGCGCTGGGGTTTGGGCAAGCACAGAGCTGGGTGGCAGCGTGGACACGGGAACTACTGAGTGAAGGGATTCCTCAGAGTCCAGGGGGGGCTTCAGGAACCCTGGGGACTGTGTTTTTAAAAGAAAACCTATTTATGTGGATGTGGGTCTCTTTGTCCCTGTTTTATAGTGTAAATAGTAAAGTTTATTCTCCTGTGGTTCAGAGAACATCCCCATGAATAAGTACATGCTGACAGAGTGGTGCAGCCAAGGCATGTCCCCTGGGAGGGGACAGTGGATGATGTGGGTCTGCCCCTCAGTCTCCTTCACGCCTGGCTGGAGAGGGTGAGGATAGGCTGGGGTGCATCCCAGTTGTCCCCAAGCATTCCCACCTGCTGGGGCCTGGAGCAGGCAGACCTGGCCATGCTTCTATGACAAGACTGTAGCTCGGTCACTGCTGGGTCTGGAAAGGCGGCAAGTCAGAGGAAGGATTTTTTTTTAATCAAATACCACATTTAGCTCTATGTCATAAATATTAAGAAAAGTATTTTTTTAAACAAGGCAGATTGAAAACGTCTGCTGGCTGGTTTGTTTATACATAAATATATATCAGAATGTCTTGCTAAGCAAAGAAACAACTCCCGCTGACGGAGCCTCTCATTAACATGCTTCTCTCTGTGCAGCAGAGGATCTCTCTAAAAGAAAACATGTTCTGTGGCGGGGTCCAGATCCCCCGACCTCCCCAGGGCCGCAGGGGCAGAGCCATGCTGAGGGCCAGGCGGGTCCCGGCCACCTGCTCTCTGCTCAGTGTGCACAGACGTGACTCCGAGCTTGGTTAGGCCAGGCCCAGGCGGGCGGGAGGGGAGGGGCATTCACACACGAGGGAAGTCTTGTGTGAGCCTGTTGATTTCTCTACCTCATCTGTATAGCGAGTAGGTGTGTACTCGAGTGACTTGGAGAATGTATTTATTTAATGGCCTTGTGTAACAGAACAGAAACAAATGGAAACACTAAATAAATGTATTTTTAAATTATAGCCTCATCTCATTGGCTGCCTTCAGAGGGGTTCCAGTGGTCCTGGGGAGAAGGGCCTGTGTGAGGAGGAGGCCTGAGGGAGGAGGGCCCAGGGAAATGAGAGGGTTTACAGGCCTCTCACAGACCAAGTCCAGCCCAGCCCTCCCCAGAGGTGGGAGGGGGTGGTAGTTCCCTGTTAGCACCTGGAGATGCAGCAGCTCTCATGTGCAGGGACCGTATCCCAGGTCCCTTGCCACTGAGTGGCCCCATGGATCCTCTCATAGGCTGGCACTGGAGGACCACGTGCCCAACTCCTTCTAGCTTGGCCTCTGTCCCAGCACACCCTCAAACAGTGCTCTCAGTGAGCCTCCAAACCCTCGTCTCTACCAGAGTGCCTGCTGAGGCCCTGTTTCACTCTCTCCTCTGGAGCAGGAGTGTGGGGACTGCTGGGGGGGCTTTGTCCCCTGTATTAGTCAAGGGGCAATCATAACAAATGACCACAAACAGGGTGAGGGGCACGGCTTACAGCAACAGGAATTTGTTCTCTCCCAGCTGTGGAGGCCAGAAGTGGGCAGGCTGAGCTCTCTCGGGAGGCTGTAGAGGATGATCCTTCCTGCCTCTTCCAGGCATATTCCTGGGCTTGTGGCCACATCACTCCCGTCTCTGCTTCCATCTTCACGTGGCCATCTGCGTGTCTTCTTTGTCTTCTCCCCTCTGTCTCTTAGGAGGACACCTGCCATGGAACATAGGGCCCACCTAGACAGTCCAGGATGCTCTGATCTTGAAATCATTGACTCAAGTAACTAAGTATAATCTGCAAAGACCCTTTCCCAAATGAAGTCATATCCTGAAGTTCAGGTGGATGTGAACTTTGGAGGACAGAGCCCCAACCACTGCAGTCCAGGGGACCTAGGACCTGGTCCCTGAGCGGGGAAAGGAGTGTGGAGCAAGGGTGGGCCCAGGCACTGTGGTGGACAGGACAGAGCACATCTCCTTCTCTTGCCCAGTTAGGAAAGAAGACTTTCTCTTTCTTGGCAGTTTTTCCCTCATCACCTCAAGGTCTATGTCCTTCAGAGAGCGGCTGGAGTTTCAGCCCATCCTGCAGTACATGCATTAGGCCCCTGTGTTGGCCACCTTCTCCCTGTCCCACGGGGGCATGTGACCCCCCATTGTGTGTGGGGGCCCTTGGCTAGCCAGAGGGTGCCCTCTGCCTCCTTTCAGGATGCCTGCTGGACCCCCCAGCTTTCTCTCTCTCACTCTAAGCCTGCAGCCTCTTCCAGAAGCAGGTTTCCTGTGCCTCATCCCAGCGCTGAGTCCCTGACACAGCCTGTCCATCTGTCCGTCCACCTGCTCTGAGTCTGGGGTCCTCTGGGCCCAACACGACCCCCTCCCACCGAGTTTGTCCCCAGTCCCCATCCCTTCCACCCTCCCTGCTGGCCTCTGTCTTCCCTTGAGCCCATCTCGTGTGTCCTCCTCCCCCACAGCTGTGATGTGCCCTGCTGGACCCCTGGTGGCCCCTCTCCTGGGAGGTCACCTGCCTGACACCTCGGGTCTTGTCCAAGTCCCTCTGGATACCCAGGAGAGGAGCTGCTGCGTGAGGAATGTGGAATTATCTGCCTAATCACTGTGCTCAGGCGGAAGGGTTACAGTACCCCCTCTCTGCCCTCCTGAACACTGCCACTGGAGACCAAATGGTTCTTCCTGAGGCCAGACACTCTGCCAGGCCGAAGGTGACCTGGCAGCTCCAAGAGGCCCCTCAGCCGGGCACCGGGATCCACCGGTGAGGGATGGGGGTGGGTGGCAACAGGGAAGAGGGGGGCTGAGGGACCTCTCGCCACGTGGGGGGCCCGTGGGGGCAGCTCCCCGTCTTCGCATGTTGTGAAAACCGAGACCTCCTCCCCGGCACCGCTATGGAGGGGCAGGCAGAGGGCTCAGGCCTCTGTGTCCCGGGTGCGAGAAGGTTGCAAGCTGCCCGGGTTAGAGAGCAGGCAGCCTGAATGTGGCCATTCTTCCTAGGTGACGGGTGGCTGAAACCGTAGCTGAAACCAACCCAGGTGCAGGCTGCGGGCTGCAAGCGGGTGGGGGCTACAGAGGGGAGAAGGGGCCAGCCAGGCAGGACAGGCTGGACAGGTCACTATGCACAGCCTCCTGCCAGGGCCAGCCTCCTCCTACTTGGGCACTCAGCCCCCTGCCGAGGATCCCTATCTGGGCACCCAGGTCTCCCCTCGATCCTGGGTTGTATATGCGGTGGATAAGCTCTGTGCACCTGGCTAACCTTGCATGTGTCTGTGTCTGTGTGCCTGTGTACAAACATGTGGGGGCGCTGGG